ATGTAGCATTTGTTCCTTGTCATAAGCAAAGCTTTTACCTCTGCTCTGCGTTATCTATCGATCCGTTTGTTTATTATTTAATTCATAAGGGTGTTTTGTCTGTGTACCACATGCATGCAATTATTGTGTTGGTCAGAAGAGGCCGTCAGATCTGGGACTGGAGTGGTGGCCATGTGGGTGCTGGGAATCGAACCCAGGGTCCTCTGGAAGAGCAGCCAGTGCTCTTAACCGCTGAGCCATCATCTTTCCAACCCCTTTGCATAATTTTTGATCCTTACTAAACAAACCAATAAAAACACAGGCATCCTTATTTATGTGTGTATATATGCACATATATAAACAAATTATGCATATACATATATGTTTTAGATAATGTAAGTATAAGGCCCTGGAAGGTGAAACTGTTTGCTTAAGTTTACACACAGAGTCTAATTTATTTTAGAAAATCTTATTTAGTGCAAAGCTGGTGTTTGAGAGAATGCAGCCCCTACAGCTGCAGTAGAAGACTTTCTTGTTCGAGGCAGGGTTTCTCTGTGCAGCCCTGCCTGTCCTGAAACTTTCCGTGCAGAACAGGCTGGGCCTCTGCATCCCAAGTGCTGGGATTCAAGGTGTGCGCCACCACACCCAGCCACTCCTTCCTTCCTTCCTTCCTTCCTTCCTTCCTTCCTTCCTTCTCTCTCTCTCACCCTCCCTCTCTTCCTCCCTCCCTTCCTTCTTTCTTTCTATTCTGTGTATCTTTTACATCATGTATCTTTTTAAACAAATCTGTTTATTTTTATTTTATTTGTGTTGGTGTTTTGACTGCTTGTGTGTCTGTGTGAGGTTGTCAGATCTTAGAGTTACAGACAGTTGTGAGCTGCCATGTGAGTGCTAGAACTTGAACCCAGATCCTCTGGGACAGCAGGCAGTGCCAACTCTTTAGTCCCTACACCATGTGTCTTGATCCCTTTCATTTCCCCTTCCCTTTGCATCCACCCTCTGCCCCAGCACCCCCATGGCAGCTCACACCTGTCTGGAACTCCAGTTTCAGGGGAGCAAACACCCTTATGCAGACATACAGGCAAAACACCAATGAACCTGACGGTGGTGGCACACGTCTTTAATCCCAGCTCTCGGGAGGCAGAAGCAGGTGGATCTCTTTGAGTTCAAGGCCAGCCTGGTTTACACAGTGAGTGCCAGTACAGCCAGGGCTACAGCTACCACAGAGAAATCTTATCTTTTAAAACAAAACAAAAACAGAAAAGCAACACAGTATATAGTTTTAATGAATCAAATACCATCTGAGATTTAGCTCAGCTAGAGCATTCCCAGAGCACAGAGAGGTCCTGTGTTTGAACTCCAGCAAGGGTTGGGGATCAAGGATTATTAGTAGTAGGCTAAAATGAAAAATTGGGGGCTGGAGCGATGGCTCAGTTGTTAAGAGCTTTGCCTGCTCTTCCAGAAGTCCTGAGTTCAATTCCCAGTAACCACATGGTGGCTCACAGCCATCTGTAATGAGACTTGGTGCCCTCTTCTGGCATGCACTGTATACATAATAAATAAATCTTTAAAAAAAATAAAATAAAATGAAAAATTGGCTCTTGGGGGTGGAGAGATGGCTCGGTGGTTAAGAGAGCTCACTGCTCTTGCAGAGCACTGGAGTTTGGTTCTCAGCACCCAAACTTGGAGACTCAGTATACCCTGAAACTCAAACTCCAGGAAATCTAAAGCCCTGGTCCATTCCACCCCAGCTCTGCACACCATTATACACAAATATTTTTTTTTGTTTGTTTGTTTTTAAGAAAAATTTGATTTCCTGCCCAATCTCTTCCCTTCTCCATTCTACTCTCGGAGGAAGAAAGCCAGCCATGGATTCTAGATGTTTTTCTTTGCTCTGTAGTAGAATCGCGTGACTTCGAAGAACATGCATGTGCTTGTTTCTCCTGATCTTTCAGGCTCCAGGTGCAATAAAAGTTTTTTTCTTTAAATTTACTCTTCTCTCATACAATAGATCATCCAACTGTAGCCTCCCTTCCTTTCCCTCCTCCCAGCCATCCCCAACCCTCTCCCCTAGATCCTCTGCTTCCCGGTTTCCCTTCAGAAAAGAGCAGGCCTTCCAGTACACTGAACACTGCATAACAAGATGCAATGAGACTAGGCACAAACCTAGTAGAGACCAGCCACTAGGTGGAAAAGGGTCCCAAGAGCAGGCAAGAGTGAGAGCTACCTCCACTCCCACTGCTAGGAGTCCCACAAAACCCCAAGCTAAGCACCCCCAGTTTGTATGCAGAGGACTCAGCGCAGACCCTTGTAGGCTCCATGATTGCTCCTGTGAGCCCCCGTGACTTCCTGCTCAGTTAATTCTGTGGGCCTGTCCTTAGCCCCTCTGGCTCCTGCAATCCTTCCTTCCCCTCTTCTTCAGGGTTTCCTGAGCTCCGGCTGAAAAAGAAAATCAACAAAATGATGCCTAGTGATATTCTGCTATACTCATAGCCATTTGTCATCAGAGAGGCTTCCTCAGGCAGCTGAGGGGAGCAGATGAATGTCTTCTTTTAATTCCCATAATAGATAAGAGATGGCAGCGGGAAGGGGAAATGTGCCGAAATACACACGGCACTGCCTGCTTCGTGTCGGGGAAAACAGTTTCGTGTGAAATTTCTGGGCATTTCCAAATTTGGCAACTCACCCAAAGATGAGAGATTGACAGAGTCATAAAAATGCTCCAGTCTTAGAGATTGAGTGACTGGCACTTAAGACCCCGTAAACGGAGGTCCTTTCCTAGATGGTGGGCAGTTGGTAAGGCGTGTTTCCTTTGCTGACCCTAAATAAAACTCCAGGGCCAGCAAAAATCATGAGTACTCAGACCAACATTGATCTTTATTGCTTCTCCTTCATTCCTGAATAAACAAACATAAACTCACAAAGATCATGTAAATTAAGTGGATGAGCTAGATGGCATTAGATTGTGGAAATATTATTTGTTAAGTTGGATAATGTGCACGTAAGCAACCCTCTTTTTTTTTTTTTTGAGGGAGAATCTCATGTAGTCCAGTGTACGTAGAGTTTTTCTATCCCGCCAGTCAGTTCTGACCCACAAACCGGCTCCCCAAATAGCCACACAGAGACTTGTTATTAATTATACATGCTCGGCTAATAGCTTAGGCTTGTTATTAACTAACGCTTACATTTTAAATTAATCCATTTCTAGTCCTTTTCCTACAAACTATGTAGGAAAAGGCTTGTTCATTCATGGCTTGTCACCTCTTTTTGTACACATCCTACTTCCTCTGTGTCTGACTGGTAACTCCCAAGATTCCACTCTTCTTCCCCGTGGCCTCCTAGTTTGGTTTTCCTGCCCAATCTCTTTCTGCCCAGCTATAGGCCGGTCAGCTCTTTATTAGCCAATGGGAGTAATACATGTTTATAATGTACAAAGACTGCTCCACAGCAGTCCAGCCTGACCTAAATATACTATGTAGCTGAGCCTGCCCTTCATGCTCCAGCCTCCAGCTGTCAAGTGCTGGTATTACAGACATGTGCCACCACGTCAGCTCTTCCTTCTACTTTTGTGTGTTTGAAAGTTATCAGTAAAACAAAAAGTACCACATATTCCCCGGAAAAACCGCAGCAAACAGCACCAAGAGTTACGTCTAAAGAGAAAGGACGGAGGCCAAGATTGAGAGGAGGCGCAATGTAAACTAGTATTTTCTGTATCTTATTATTTTATGTGTATGAATTTTGCCTACCACTTAAGTGCCTGATGACCTCAGAGGTCAGCAGAGGGTGTCAGATCCCCTGGTTGTCAGTCACCATGTGGGTCCTCTAGAAGAGCAACAAGCACTCTAAACCCAGAGTCAACTCCCCAGCCCCTTTTCTGTATCTTTTAATTGTATAATTAAAATATTTTAAATTAGAACAAAAATCACAGAGTCAGACTTGGTGACTCATGCCTAAATCCGAACACTTAAGAGGCTGACGTGGGATTGTTGTGACTTCCAGACCAGCTGGGTTACTGAGTGAGACCCTGGGTTTGTTTTTCTAGACAGGGTTTCTCTATGTAGCCCTGGCTGTTCTGGAACTGGCTTTGTAGATGAGGCTGGCCTCGAACTCACAGAGATCCACCTGCCTCTGCCTCCTGAGTGCTGGGATTAAAGGCGTGCACCCCCACGAATGGCCTGTTTGCTTGTTTTTTGTAAGCCAAACAATAAATTCATAGATCATCGTCAGACTCTGGATGATTTGGTTCCATTGAACGTCCAGCTGAGAGCTGACATCCTTTCCTCGCAGAACCCAGATGGCGCAGTGGGAGATGCTGCAGAATCTTGACAGCCCGTTTCTGGACCAGTTGCACCAGCTCTACTCTCAAGTCCTCCTGCCCATGGATGTTCGACAGCACCTGGCTGCCTGGATCGAAGACCAGAACTGGTGAGGGCTCGGGAGTCCAGCTGGTTTCTTTCCTCTGAGCCTCCAGGGTCCTAGAGACTTCCCGGGAGGGGTGGGCGATCTTATAGCAACAGAGATCCTAGTCCTTGTCGTGCCTGGTCCTCAGGAGGGAAGCTGTGCTAGGCAACGACCACTCCAAGGCCAACATGCTGTACTTCAACATCTTGGATCAGCTGAAGCAGTGGGATCACAGCTCGGATCCTGATTGCATTTTATTGCAGCATAACTTGCGAAAATTCAACCGGGACATCCAGGTACCTGTTAGAGTTGGAGCTAATAGGGTGGGACCAGCGTCTGAGTAAGGTAAGGTAAGGGCTGGGGTACAGAATGTTCCTAAAGATACAAAGGGGGGCAGACCTGGGGACTGGAAGACAGAGTCTGGACTTGGGGTGCTACTGGCAGAGTAAAGGACTGATACGGGTAGATACAGAGTCTAGAAAGAGGTAGGAGGTGGCCAGGGACCCCGAAGGAGGGACAGTGCCAGGGCCACCAAGAGCAGGGTCTGGAATGGCAGGTCGTTAAGGTAGCTGAATGGATCAATCCTTCTGTGTTTCTCGCTTAGGTTTTTTCCAATAGCCCTATCCAGTTGGCTGAGATGATCTTCAACCTTCTCCTGGAAGAGAAAAGAATTTTAAATCAGGCTCAAAGGGCTCAGGAGGTAAGGACAGGAGGTAAGGAGGTGGCAATGTTGAAAGCTCCTGGGACAGACGCCACGGAAAGGACGTAGGGACCTCGTCTCCGACCGGGATATCTCTGCATCCTGCAGTAAAATTTCAAGTCCCGATTTTAGGGATGAAAAGTCAGCATTCCTCTTGGGAGGGGGAAGGGAGTGCACGTCTTTAACCTCAGTGCTCAGGAAGCAGAGGCAGGCATTTCTGTGAGTTTGAGGTCTGCCCTGTCTACAGAGCAAGTTCCTGGACTGCCAGGGCAGCATAGTGAAACCTTGTCTCGGAAAAGAAAGCCAGAGTTCGAACATATTCAGAGCCCCTTGTTTCAGGTGCCAGCCGGGCCGGCTCCTGAAGCAGCTGCGAGAAGCCAGCAGCTGGAGATTGAAACCCGAATCCTGGATTTACAGACTGTGGTTGAGGTGGGCGGTGGTGGCAAGTGTTGGGTGGAGAGGATTCAGTTCTTCTGCCCCTTCAGAAGCCGCCTTTATTGGGGTTGCGTCTCCTTTACAGACGTTGGTGAAATCCGTCAGGCAACTGAAAGACCTGCACGATGTCTTCAGCTTCCGATACACGATTCTCACGCAGAGTAGGTCCACTCGAAGTGGGAGAACGGCAGGGGTCATCTTGGGGACCTAGTGTGGATGATGACAGAAGCTGAACACTCCAGCAAGCAGCAGTCACCTTGAGTGACTACCGCACACGTCAGCGTCGGGAGTTGTGTGGATACACAGAACAATGGCGCCAGGCTGTGCTGTGGGGGTTGGACTAGAGATGCAGCTGAGGAACCGCTAGGAAATGAGGGAGGGCTTATGTAGGAACTGCCTTAGCAGGTTGCGTGGGCTTCTGGTCCATTCAGAATTCGCCTGGGAGACCCCAGGTGCCTGTACTTTGCCTGGTTCTCCCTTCCTCTCCCTCCACCCATCATTCCCTGTTCCTGACTGAGACCCTGGCTGAGAAAGAGCAGAGGAACCCGTGAGCTGACTCTTGGGTTTGCCTTGCAGAGAAGACGCCATCTTTGGACCCCCATCAGAACCAACAGCAACAGCTTGTACAGACAACAGCCAACGAACTGGACAGAATGAGAAAGGTGAAGGGCAGGGCAGAGCGGGCATTAGGGAACTGCAGGAGATGGGTCTGGGGGCTCTGGCCCCTTAGCCTTGCTGGCTTTGTTTCCGCTGGTGGTGAGAGGTGCTTCGACCACATTCTCCCTTTGCTAGGAGGTGCTGGATACCTCCAGGGCCCTAGTGGGCCGATTAACCACCCTGGTCGACCTGTTGCTGCCAAAATTGGATGAGTGGAAGATGCAGCAGCAGAAATCCTGCATTGGAGCCCCCCCCACCGGAGCTGCAGCTGGAACAGCTGGAGCAGTGGTAAGAGGAAGAGATACTTCTTTCCCATCCTCATGCACACACCAGGCCCAGCCTCACGGAGCTTCGTGCACTGTGAAATCTAGGGACAGCAAGTGAAGGCTGGGGCGGAGCGCGGAGGTAGAGAGCTTCCCCGCTTCTCCTGCACGCACAAGGTCTTGGGTCTGATTGTCAGCACGGAGTGAGAATGGAAGGGTGGGAAGGGGAAGGAAGAGGTACAGCAAGTGATGCGGTGGCCTCGTCTGCCACACGTTTTCTTGTTTGACCATGGTCACACACTGCTTGTTGTCCTCCCAACTCAGGGAGACCTCAGAGTCCAACCTCTGCTCTGGTAAAGAAGTAACGGAGAGTAATGAATTAATCCACCGTCACGATTTCTCCACCCTTTGTTTTGTTTGGTCTGCTTTTGAGACAGGGTCTCACTATGTAGCTCTGGGTAGCCTGGAACTTGCTGTGTTGGCCAGGCTGACTTTGAACTGGCTAATCCTCCAGCCTCTGCTTCCCCAGTGCTGGGACTGAAGGCAGGGGTTACCATACTTGTTTAATAAAATAAATCTTTAAGGAAAGAAACCTGGACTAGAGAGATGGCTCAACAGTTGAGAGAGGCTGTTCTTCCGGAGGTCATGAGTTCAGTTCCCAGTAACCACGTGGTGGCTCATAACCATCTATAATGAGGTCTAGTGTCCTCTTCTGTCCTGCAGGCATGCATGCAGACAGAACCCTATATACATAATAAATAAATAAATCTTTAAAAAAGAAAAGAAAAAATCCTGCCTCAAAAAACCTAAATAATAATAATTATTATTATTATAATTATGATAATAAAATAAAATAAATGAACACTTGGGAGGCAGAGGTAGGCGATTTCTGAGTTCTAGACCAGCCTGATCTACAGAGTACATTCCAGGACATCCAGGGCTACACAGAGAAACCCTGTCTCAAAAACAATCTCCCCCTCCCCCCAAAAAAGAAAAGAAATGGAGCTGGGTGGTGGTGATGCACACCTTTAAACCTTTTATCCCAGCCCTCGGAAGGCAGGAGGCAGATTTCTATGAGTTCAAGGTCAACAGAGCAAGTTCCAGTACAGCCAGGACTGTTTCACAGAGAAACCCTGTCTCACAAAAACACCACCAACAAAATTGTGTTGAATACTTTACCATATGCTCCCTGGATTCTGTCTGTGGCAGGGTCTCATGTGTCCCAGGCAGGCCTTGAACTCACTATGTAGCTGAAGGATCTGGCCTCTGCCTCCTCAGTGTTGGGATTTCCAGCATGTAATGCTATACCCAGTTTATACAGTGCTGGGATCAAACCTAGGACTTTGTGCTTTTTCTGTCAAACAAGCAACATCATTAACCCCTTAGGCAGGATCACATTGTATAGTCCAGGCTGACCTTGAGTTCTTGACCCCCCTGCTTCAACCTTGAGAGTGTGGGAGCGGAAGGGTGCAGCGCTCACCTGGCTCTAGGTTCTTTCCAGCTCAGGTCAGTTTTCAGCTCTCCTCCATTAAAGCAGGGACACTCAGAACCTCAGTGGGGCCCCGTAAAACTACACATCCTCTCTCCCCGTCCTGTGTCACCCAGGATGACGTCTGGAGCAAAGCTCTTGTTCCACCTCCGGCTGCTGCTGAGGCAGTTAAAGGAAATGAGTCACATGCTGAAGTACGAGGGTGATATGTTTAGCCAAGGGGTGGACCTGCAGAATGCCCAAGTCACGGAGTTACTACAGCGCCTGCTCCAAAGGTCTGGTGGTCTGGGAGGAATCTCCAGTGGGAGAAACAAGGAAGAAACACGGGGATACGATTGTTACAGACACTGAACTGTTATCTTCTCTCCACACATCTTTCCTCAGGTCCTTCGTGGTGGAAACCCAGCCCTGCATGCCCCAAACTCTCCACCGACCCCTCATCCTGAAGACTGGGAGCAAGTTTACTGTCCGAACAAGGTTGCATTTTCTCACCTTTGCCTCATCCCCGGCTCTGCCTTTCTGACTTTTGCTTCTACTGCTGGAAGTTTCTTCTTCTCTCCTCCAGCTCACCTTCCACTTCCAGTCCCCTGGCCCTCTCTTCTACACTTCTGGCTTTATCAGGAATTTGAGAGCCAGGTGTGGTGGCGCCCGCCTTTGATTCCAGCATTTGAGGGGCAGAGCCAGGTGGATCTCTGTGAGTTTGAGGCTAGCCTGGTGTACAGCGCTAGTTTCAGGACTTCCAGGGCTACACAGAGAAACCCTGTCTTGAAAAATAAAACAACGGGGCTGGAGAGATGGCTCGGAGGTTAAGGTTCTGAGTTCAATTCCCAGCAACCGCATGGTAGCTCACAACCACCTGTAATGAGATCTGGTGCCCTCTTCTGGCCTACAGGGATACATGCAGGCAGAACACTGTATATATAATTAATAAACAAATCTTAAATTTTTTTTAAAAAAAAGAAAAACAAAACAACAACAAACTTGAGATTGACCACTGTGACTGTCTCCTGTCCCCCTAGTTTGAGATTGACCACTGTGACCGTCTCCTGTCCCCCTAGTTTGAGACTAACCACTGTATCCGTCTCCTGTTCCCCTAGACTGCTGGTGAGACTCCAGGAGGGCAACGAGTCACTCAAAGCAGAAGTCTCCATTGACAGGTAAGTTGAGGCAGCTGAAGGATGTGATTGAGCTGGCCAATAGGAAGGAACAGCTGGTACCAGTGGTATTGGTACTCAACGCACAGCCGGCCCCTCAGGCTGTACATGTCGTGCCACCTTACAGAAGTAAAAACACCTCCCTCAAGCCAGGCATGGTGGCCCACCCCTTTAATCCCAGCACTCCGGAGGCAGAGGCAGGCAAATCTCTTGAGTTGAAGGCCAGCCTGGTCTACAGAGCAAGTTCCAGGACAGCTAGGGATACACAGAGAAACTCTGTCTCGAAAAACAAAAACAAAACAAAACTAAAAACAAACAAACAAAAAACCAGCAACAACCTCCCCCAATTCCTAAACAACAACAAAATGCCGACCTCCCCCTCACGGAGCACACGCTCGGTGCTGTGCAGCAGGCCTCGGGCTCCTGTCATTGTACAACTCCACCAGGTGGGTGTTACCAGTGTGTCAGACACACAAGGACATGAACTCAAGGCAGTGTCTCTTCTGCCAGGCCTTGGGGCTAGCGAGCTCCGGAGGCTGTCTGACGTGTGGAACTGGGTGGGAAGGGCTGCTTCCAGGACATCTCACCCTCCCACTCTGCCCCCACAGAACCAGTGACTTTTTTTTCCTTTTTTTTTCAGGAATTCAGAGTTATCAGGGTAGGTGCCCAATGAGGAAATGTACACTCATGCATGACCTGCAAACCACATTGGCAATCCTGGTGGGAGCCCAAGGGAGGAAGGGGATGTGGGCGGGGCATGGACTAGGAGAAGGGGAAGTCTGAAATGAACTGGAATTTTTCTTTCCTGCTATTTTCTATTTTTTATTTTAATTTTTAAAAACATTTTACCTACAGAAAGGGTGTGAGTGTGTGTATATACATATGCATGGTCAAGAGAGAAAAATATGGAAATGCGTGTAGGTCAGAGGACATTTGGTGGGATCTGTTCTTTCCTTCCACCATGTGGGGCCTGGGGATCGAACTCAAGTCATCAGGCTTGGCAGCAAGCCTCTGTACCTGCTGAGCCATCTCACTGGCCCTTTCCTGCTGGTTCTTAAAACTAATTCTGAGCATGGCATGGTGGAACACACCTGGGAGGCTGGGGCAAGAGTATCTCTGAAAATACAATGCCAGCCTGGGCTACATAGTGAAACCTTATCTCAGAGAGCAAGAAACAGACAGACAGACAGACACGAACCTTACTCTGACTCCATATGTCTTTTCCCTGGAACAGCTTCCGGAAGTTCAACATTCTGACCTCAAACCATAAAACCTTGACCCCTGAGGAGGGCCAGAGACAAGGCTTAATTTGGGACTTCGGCTTCTTGGTAAGAATGGTTAATAGAATTGTCAGCTAATCCAAAGGAGCAGGAGTTATGGTCTTTCCAGGCCTCGGCCTCTGGGTCCCTCCCTGGCAGTGTGTTTCTCCTCGATTTACAGACGCTGGTGGAGCAGCGCTCTGTCGGTTCAGGAAAGGGTAACAATAAGGTGAGTGGGGCCTCAGCAGAGCTGCGAGCTGGGACCAGTGACTCACCAAAGGGCCCTCTGACCACTGTGACTCTCCAGGGGCCGCTGGCTGTGACGGAGGAGTTACACGTCATCAACTTCGTGGTGCAATATGTATACCAGGGTCTGAAGATGGAGCTGCAGGTGAGTGAGGGAAAGCAGGCAGCAGGTTTAGAACAGTTAGGGCCGTGGTGGCACACGCCTCTAATCCCAGCACTGGGAAGACAGAGGCGGGCGGATCTCTGTGAGTTCCAGACTGATCTACAGAGTGAGTTTCAGGACAGCCAGAGCTGCATAGAGAAACCCTGTCTGGAAAAATCAAAAACAAACAAACAAACAAACAGAAAAACGATTTAGAAGAAGACACACGGAGGGCACAAACAGAAGAGACCTGGAGTGGGGTGTCACCCAGGCCCCGAGGCAGACTTCTGCCACCGCACTGACTCCTGAGTTTTTCCAGACGGACACTCTTCCTGTGGTGGTCATTTCCAACATGAACCAGCTCTCCATTGCCTGGGCCTCAGTTCTCTGGTTCAACATGCTCAGCTCAAACCCCCAGGTAGGAAAGGGAGGTGCCTGGGTGAGGAGAAGAGGGGCGTGAGGGGTGGGGGAAGGCCTGCTTCCGAGTCGGCTCACCTCCCTCTTCCCCCTAGAACCTCCAGTTCTTCTACCAGCCCCCGAAAGCCCCCTGGAGCTTGCTGGAGCCTGTCCTCAGCTGGCAATTCTCCTCCTACATTGGCCGGGGCCTCGCTTCCGAGCAGCTGAGCATGCTGAGGAACAAGCTATTTGGTACAGTTCTCTTGTCTCTCGGCCTCTGCCCACCCTGGCCTGCTCCTACCCCAGGCCCTCTGCCTGGCCCTGACGCCTCTTCAATCATCCCAAACCATCTGTGACTCTGGCCCACAGGAAAGAGCTGCAAAGTGGAGGAGGCACTGTTGTCCTGGGTGGACTTCAGTAAGGTAACTTCCTGCAGCCCATCCCTCTGTCCCCAGTTTAAATCCTGGCCCTGCCCCCACCCTTCCCTCTAAGGGCAACTCCACATCTCTTCCTGCCTTTCCATTCCTTCTTCAGCGAGAGAGCCCCCCTGGCAAGATCCCTTTCTGGACATGGCTGGACAAAATTCTGGACCTGGTCCATGACCACCTGAAGGATCTCTGGAATAATGGGTAAGGTCTTTCACAGAAAGCCTTCCTGTCCCGTGTTTGCTCCCACCGGTCTCAGGAGTAGACCGTGCGCCCCCCTGTGGCACACAGGAGAAACTACAAACTAATGGAAAATCTGGTTAGAAATAGGAATGGTGGCCCTTACCTGTCCAGCATCTGTCCCAGAGCCTGCTGGGTGCGCTCGTGAATATGTTCATATAGTCCTTAAAACCGCGCTGGGCGGTGGATAGTTACACCTTCAGTCCCATGAGGAAACCCAGTCTTGCAGAAATGAGAAATTTGCTCAATGGACAGAGTTGAGAATAGACCCAGGCCTATGTAACTGCCCATCACCTGGCCTTTGTTACTTTTTACACACACACAGAGACAGACAGACAGGCAGAGAGGGTCCCTCTATTATGTGGCTTTGGATGGCTGTCCTGGAACTTGCTGTGTAGACCACGTTGGACTTGAACTCACAGATCCACCTGCCTCTGCCTCCCAAGAGATGGCATTAAAGACATTGGATTCCGTGGCCTGCTTTGCTATATTTTTAGGTGTGTGTGTGTGTGTGTGTGTGTGTATGTGTGTGTGGTCAGGGGACAGCTTACAGGAGTGGGTTCTCTCCTTCCACCATGTGGGTCCTAGAGATTGAACCCGGGTGGTCTGGCTCAAGCTGCTGAACTGCCTTGTGCTTTCACCAGTGTGTCCGACTGAATCCTCACACCTCTTCAAACCTTGGGGGCAGGAGCACTGTCACTAAAGTTACGTGATTAGATCAAGATGAAAAAGTGTGTAAGCCACAGAAACGGGGCCAAAGTCCCCGCTTCCGTGCAAATGGGACCCGCGACCCTTGGGATCGCATCGTGGCTTCATCTGCTCTAGGCGCATCATGGGCTTTGTGAGCCGGAGCCAGGAACGCCGGCTGCTGAAGAAGATGGTCTCTGGCACCTTCCTGCTGCGCTTCAGCGAAACTACCGAGGGCGGCATTACTTGCTCTTGGGTGGAACACCAGGATGATGGTCGGTCCCGCCCCCCCTCGCCCTACCCACACCCTCACCCCCGCCATTTCCGCGGTCTCTGCTTTCTAGGGGCGTTACTTGCTCTTGGGTGGAACACCAGGGTGATGGTCGGTCCCGGCTCCCCCCACCCTGCACCCTCACCCCTCACACCGCTCACCCTGCAGTCTCTGCTTTCTTCCTGGCACCCCACCCCGCCAATCCCTTCTGACTCTTTGCCTACCCTTGGTTTCTGCCTGGATTCCTGCAGTAACTTAGGGGTTGGGCAGCTAGGGTGGGGAACTCAGGGACTGATCTCACCTCTGAGCCCACTTGTT